GGCGTTAATCGCCGCGGAACTCTGGCTGTCGGTAAGTAGGATTTTTACGAGAATATCCCATTATTTGTATTGTTGGCCATCCGAATAGTAATAAAGTATATTCTGAAATTCCACAGTCGAGAAGACCCATGAAAGAACTGCACAAGTATTTCTCTACAACGTGGGACGCGATGGACAATCTGTTGGTAATTACGCAATCTTTAATATTACTCGATAGCTATTACTGATGAAAACGGTTGCGTTTGAAGAGTACGCCAACAAACGTTTTCCGATGTATCACCTATACTTATGTTAAATATTTTATACTTTTGCCATTTCGCCCGCGTTATAATCAAAATTAATAATTACGTTAGTAAATTTCCGTAAGACCAAAATCTAATTAGGGTCGCGTTTGACGAGGAACGTCAACATTTTACGTGCGAGACTCGCGAGGCGAAACATTCCTGCGGGCTAGTCTATGGCAAATCGATCTCTTATTTTGCTTCTAGACGGGTGAAATAAACGAAAAATTTCTTGCGTCTAGTTCATTGATCGGACGAAAATCTGCATTAAATACCAGTGTTCGGTGCATTTAAACCTTCTATCACTGGCGTGTCGGTAATATTTGGAAGATGTAAAAAGTTTGGACGGACGAAATCGTCCTCGAGTCAAATTTGTCATAATGTCGTATTGTAAATGGAAAATTCGTAATTTGATCTTCATTTAGAAAGATGGACGGCTTATCTAAGGCGTGGAAGGAAATTTTCCTCACGATCTGTATCGATTAAATCACAGGTTTTCCCCGATACTCTTATGCCTGAGTATAGTTGAAGAAACGAAATCAAATTTCTGAAAAAAAACTGAAAAGTTTATTGTTTAGATGACCAACATTCAAAAGAGATGCACGGGACCGGCAATCGGAGTGGCGCTTTTGGATTTCGTCGTCAAGAGGAACATCGCCATTAAAGTAAGCGAACACTTTCCTCCTTCGTTCTATTACCAAAAACATAAATTAGATGCGCAGCGAACGTCCTACAAATGATAGTTTTCAACGGATTTATATAAATACAGTAGAGCGTCGATTATCCGAAAGTCAATTATCCAAAACGTCAATTATCCGAAAGAATTCCAGTCGGCAAATTTAAATTTTCGCCAGTGCTGTGGTGCTACAATCTTTGGCTATGTCTTGGGCTACTCAAATATTTTGCGTTTTTGGTGTTTACTTAGTTTTATTCTATTTTATTTTAAAAAATAATTTTAGATATTTTCAATTTTTATTAATAAGAATGAAAATATCTAAAATTATTAAAAATTAACAAATATATAATATCAAAGTCTTGTTTTAAACTTTTTATGTATATAATTGAATATATATGACCATCCACTGCCAGATGGAAAGAAACTGCTAGGGATAACTGAATTTCCTTCCAATCAATTGGCAATCTCTGATGACAATGCCAACTGTTGTGCATTGGAGATCATGGGTTATCAGCATGGCCGCAATGGCCATGCTGATAACCCATAATCTCCAATGAGTTGATTGCATAGAGATCAGGGAGTCACTTGTCACTGGTGGAAATCAACATTGATACGGTAGATGAAAGCATCAGTGATTCAGATGATTCAGCAGATGTTCCTATAATTGATAAGGACATTTGTCCTTTCTAAAAAGTCTAGTCTGAGGATTAAGTTGTGTTGCTTTTTCACAGTTGAAGAATAAGGAATTTGATGGGAATGACTTGAATCAGTTGGTATCTAGATGGTGCTTTGGCCAAGGATGTTTATCAGTGTTCCATCTACACTGGAAATGTACATTGATGTTTCAGTTAAAACTTTATGTAGCTTCTGTCAAAGTTTGTCAGCTTACAAAAATGGCAATGTTGACCAGGATCTGTATTTCTACAAAGTTTATGACAACAGGCATATATCCATGGCAGAAAAGTATGGCACCAACAATTGGAGGATTTTGGCAAGACAACTTATCTTCAAAAATCCTCCAACTGTTGGTGCATTCTTTTGAGGCAAGGACAACTTATCCTTGTCTCCAAAGAATGCCCAATTTAGTTTTTTGTCAGTCAGAAGCTGGGCAAAGGATCATAGTCATTGGATCTAATCAGTGCTGATAAGGGTTGTTAAAATGTTTATATTTGACACCTTTTTGGGCTCATACTTGATGAAGCAGAGTCCAGTACTCATTTAAGGGTTCTGGCATTGCTGAGGCAGCTGGCCTCCAGCATCTCTTGGTAGCATGGAATGTTGTAAATTGGTTGCAGTAAGATGGTAGCTGACCTGGATATGTTCAGTTCTACTGCTGAAATGCAGTAGAATTGAACATATCCAGTTCATCCATAGTTGAAGCAGATGGGAACTTGGTTGGCAGTGTGCCAGATGTCCATGTGTCTTAGTTTAGTTTGACAATCTATCAGCAGTATCAAAGAGTGCCTTCTCGGTTCTTTTGATGTTGGTTGGCACAGTTTCTTGGCCAGAAATGATGCAGACACTATTAGTTCTGGTCATTAGAAAATGGCATAGCTACTTTTTCCATTACTCCATTGAAGAACATCATCAGTATGGTTCCTGTAGTTCTTCCTAGATGATCTCTCAGATAAGCATTGCATTCCTTCTTCATTGAATCTGACAGTCATGTGCGGTAAATAGTAAAAAGTACAATTTTTGGCTTACTCTGATGTTACAGGAATTTTTGATTTGGCAGTAGGTTGAGAAGAAGGTTGTGGAAGTCATAACGTCAGTAATCAACAGACATTGAACAGATCTTTGGTGACACCCTTCATCAGATGTTCCAGCTTTTCACTATCTGACATTTGTGCATTGGATTTGCAACAGAAGGCTAGTAATGTTGAATGTGGGATTGGCCATCTTCTCTTGGTTCTCAAGGCATAGTTTAACATCTCTGAATGTTTCATGGACAACATTAGGAAAGGATGACCAGTTGACAATTTGACTCTCATTAGTAAACTAGCATTTAGCAATACTATCTAGAAAGAAGTAAACACTGTTGAACTTGATTTTGTTTCACCTGTAATGAGCAACCAGGTCAAAGTCTTCTATGTAGCAATGGACATCCTTGTTCCTTTCATTATGGGTTCCCAGCATTACAGGGGTGTAAACGGTTGATTGAAGCATCAACAGTTACAGGTTGGTTGATGTACTGCATTGTGATGCATTTCTGGAGGAATTTTGGATTCAATGGTCATGCTAGATTTTCTGTCATAAAGGTTCTGGGGATTACAGATTTAGGGTTTGTGTAACCTTTGTAGTTTTCTGCTATGTTGAATTTTGTTGGGCTTCTCATGTTTGTACCCATAACCTCCATAAAAAACACTCATATGTAAACACTATTTATGGGACATGGATGTTACGTAAAGAAGATAGAATAAGCTTAAAATAATTAAAATGAACTATATTTTTTTTATATTTGTAATACAGTAGAGCGTCGATTTTCCGAAAGTCAATCATCCGAAAGAATTCCAGTCGGCAAATTTAAATTTTCGCCAGTGCTGTGGCGCTTCAATCTTTGGCTATGTCTTGGGCTACTCAAATATTTTGCGTTTTTGATACTAAATTAATTAACATCTGAAGTATAATTTTTTATTATTTTTATATTTTTCAACATATTTATTTTGTTTGTACAAAATAAAAAAATAACTTTTAACGATACAATAGTCTTTGTTAGGCTTAACATCGACGAAAATTCAACGCGAAGCGACACGCAACGGAGAAAAATTTCGACATCGGATACGTTAAACTATTTTTTCGTACGAAATCAGTTATCCGAAATATCAGTTATCCGGACAACCCCAGTCCCCAATTGATTCGGAAAATCGACACTCTACTGTATTATCATTTACACAATTTTCATAATTTTATGCTCAATGATATCCATATTTTGTTTGATTTACAGGTGCTCATCGTTTCATTTTCAATAATACTCCTAGCTGTGAAGTGGTGCATGGAAGTTTGTATGCATGTCTTAGAGCATTATTTGGATTATCTGTGACTGGAATTTTAGTGTGTATATTTTCTTCCATGTTAGTATATCAATTACTTAGTCATGAAAAGAAAAAATTATATTGGGAACAGGTAAGAAATTTTTACATAAATTTATTTTCAAATATTTGTTACTGTTTTTAGTTTAAATTAATGATGATAAAAAAAACAAAGTGGCAAAGTTTATTAAATTATTTGTTAGATGCTAAGTTATGAGTTTGAATAAAACTTTGGTCCATTGGTATTTGAGTTCATTTATATAATAGAATTTTTTTTTAAAAGTGCACTTGTAATCTCAAAGTGTATTTGTATTTTGTTTAACTGAAGTAAAAATAAATATTACTGTTAGAAAAAAAATCAGAAAAAGAGATTTTAGTTTGAAAAAATGTTTCATTAACTCTCAAATTAGAAAATAAATATCATTAGAGAAAATTCATTTAAATAAGATATAATTTCTAATAAAATCTATTATGCCAATAACATCAAATATAAGTGCATTAAATTATTTGAAATATTCTGTACAATTTGGTTGCAAAAATGTTTTATTTATTAGATTTAAAATTAAAGTTTTCTTGATATTTATGAATTAAAATATTCATAAAACTGATTTTCAACTTCAGAAAGTTTTAATATATAATATTCTTATATTTGAAATAAAGAAATTTTGATTTAGTGAAATATATTTCAAGAACACCAAAATTTATTTTAATTTTTTTTAGCTGTTTTTCTACCATTCTTACTAATAATACTAAAAAATATTTTATTCTTACAATACTTTAGTTTGTTTGTTACGTAATGTTTCAGTTAATTAATTTTACTGTGACAACTCTTAAGATCATATATATATATTTTAAAGTAAGTTTTAATTATTTTTGTCTTTTTAGTTGGAACTTCGTCGCAGATTTTTATACCGACGTCAGTCTCATCATACATGTGGTTGTTATGAAGATTTATATTCTTGGCAACTTTGGGAAATGGTCGATTACAGACTTTTAAACCCACGTTATTTGGCTTCGAGTCCAGTTGGAGAAGAAGAAGAATCAAGGAATTTAGTTACTACTCCTTCTGTTCGTGGAGTTAGTTTTGGTGGAGGAAATCATCAAGCATCAGGATGGAGTTGGTTGCCCTGGCCTTGGCAAGATACAGTAAATCATAATGTTGTGCCAAACAGGACATCCGTTAACAATACTCGTTATAATCTAATGAGAAGACTTATATCTCGTAGTATTTGGGAACAACAAACAGTAACTCCAAGTTCTAATACTCCACAAGAAACTACAGTTCAGAATGGTTCACCAAATTATCCACCATGGCGTAATGATTGTATGCATGTAATACAGCCTAACTTAAGAAGTGGAAATGATGTTTCTCAAGTACGATTTGGTATTCGTGCCAGAAATTCTGCTTATGGACGTGCAGCTGCTGGTCACAGACGCACACGATCAAATGATGGTATATTTCATCATTTACACATGAATACAACACCCCTTTTTACTCAACCATATCCTGTTCAAGATGGTTCAGGAGTGGTCTCTTGTCATTTAAATTATGAAGTACCACGTTACATGTGGGGTCCTCCACCACCATATTCTCAGCCAACTTCATTAGAGAATATTTCAACTCTAGAAAATGGAAATGATGGTCAAGAAATTATAGTAAACAGAGAATGCAATAGTAACAGAAGACTAGATGAGCAATTGAACAGAATTAGTAATATTGAAATAGAATCTACAGGGACACCACTTTCCTCAAAGAGAATGAATTCATTGAGAGAACATAAATTGATGTGTCGCAATTTTTCTTCAGATGCCATAACAATTACAATTGGAAACACTTCTTCAAATATGTGTAATCAAAATGAAAATTACAATTCAGATGATTGTAAAAGAGAGGATACTTGTGTTGTTGAAGTTCATGTTCCTTATTTAATTCATAAAAGTGATGTTGTTTTTAATACACTGCCAGCAAGAAGTTCCAAGAAGAAGCATCATAATCCGTTTAAATCATTATCTAATATACCATTGTGTTTCTCTAAAAAATTGAATGGATTAAGAAATGATAAAAATTTAAGCTGCAATTTAGCTGTGATTGAAAAATGTTGTGAACTAAAGGAGGCATTGAACCATTCCATCAATTCAAAATGCTTAAGAGATAGAAAAAATACATTGTGCGATGCATTTTCATTGAAAACATTATCTGAACAACATCTTTGTGAAGATAAAAGTACTAATACATCTATTTCTGAAGCTTCTCCTAGTTCATTGAGTTTCCATCCAACAATTGTGGAAATACCATCAGATTTTAAGTCAAGTGTAATAATAGCAACAAGTCCATCTACTCCAGTAACAGAAAATATCACATTACCAAATATTATATATGCTCAGTCCATGCCAAATTTAAGTCTTTCTAATTCCCTTACAATGTGTAGTGTACACAGAACTCCTTCCAGTGGCAATACATCCACATCTCAAGACTTTGCTGATTTTGAATTGGATGAAGATAGTTCACCAATTGAACTTGGTAGCCCTATTAAAGACTTTTCTCAGTTTTCAGATGGGACAGGCCATTGTAATGGTTCTCAATTGCTTACTTGTGCCCATTATGTTGATGGATATTTTGATAGATCAGACACTTCTAGCGATTCTTATGGCCCCTCCTGTGGAATCGTAAAGTGTATAGACGACAGACCATTCTCTGTAAATAATTTACCCAGCCCAATTCCTTCAGATGACGGAATGAATGAAGACAAACATTCAGACATATTTTTGTCTGATTCTTCTAATAAAGAAAAACTGTGTGCACCACCAATTCAATTTTCAAATACTCCTAATAATATATCTCAAGGAGAAACATTGAAAGAATCTCCAACTATTATGTGTAATGCTGGAACACAGTGTGATTTAAATTCGCCTAATGAATTAGATTGTTTTTATGTGGCCACAGCCATTCGAGGAAGAAATCTAATTCCACTTCCACACAGTGACAAATCAGAAAATTTTGTAGTGACTGTAAAAGGTGTAAATGTTTAAATATTTATCAATCAAATGTTGTGTTTTTTGTTTATTTAATAGAATTGTATATAAGTTAATCTGGCAAACAAAAATTGATCTTGTTGACAATTTTATCATCAATTTAATGTTTTATTTTATCATCAAGATCCTGTTTCAAGTTTTAATATGCTTAAAGTCAAATCAGCTCAAAATTTTTCAATGAGATATTAATAATACAAATATTACCATTTTGATATTTGTGATTATGATGCAAATTTATATAGAGAGAAGATTGTAATTCTCAAATTAATATTGAACGTTAATAATAATTCAGCTGGTTGACTTTAAGTATAAATGTAAATTGATTTTATTGTTGTTAATATGTTCCACTTTTAAAGTGCATTTACAATTTTAAAAAATGTTACATTTCATTTATTAATTGTTTTGCTTTTGTTATTAGATTTACCAACATCCACAATTTTTAATAGTTTTTTCAGTGACAAGTGACTTTTTTAATGTGCCAAAATGTTTTTAAAAAGTAGCTCAGCTCCCAATAATACAAGCCCAGCCCAAAATATCTTGCATTTTGTGAGATATAAATGTAGATCATACCGGTATATTCTTTGGTAATGATGGAGAATAGAGTTGACGAATTATCATGAGAATTAGTGTTTTGAAAAAATTTTCAGAATGGAAAATATACTTTCAAGGTAATAATTGTAAAGGTTTTTCTTACGTGCAAATGTGCATTGAATTGTGTGAAAAATAAGATTTGAATAAGTACAAAATTTGTGTTGATATATTACTTAAAATGGTATGAATGATAATAAAGGAAAAAACAATTAGTATTGAGACTTGTTATTGTATTGTAAATTTTCAATGTAAAATACATTCACTAACAGTTTAATTATTCTTAAAAATATCTTATTTTGTATCATATTTTATTTTATACACTTTCAATAGAAAATTAGCTTAAATATTAGTGAATAAAATTTTTGTTTCATGAACAATTAAATTTGATATGATTTTTTGTGAGATACCAGTACACTAAGATATGTGGTCATGATAAGCATATTCTCCTTTATAAGCTTGATTCTTGGTAAGACATGGGAAAGAATAATTTTATATCAAGATAGCAATTACATTTCTTTTATTAACAATGTTTGCTAAAAATGTATGTTAAGAAATTAAAATACTGATTGTTTTAAACAAAAGTATGATCAGTACATCTTAACATTGTTAAAAGCATATATTTATTTAGATCTTTAATGTTTTATTTCAGTTTTCTCATAGTCTCTCATCAAATAATTTTTTAAACTTTAATAGAATTCAGTTATATTTAATAAGACACATAATATATCAAATCTTCCAACAAAAAATACCATTCATGTTATGTAATAAAGTGCATAAATTTTGAATTTAAAGAAAGACGAAATTCTTGTTTAATTTTTGAAATATTTTTAATATAATTCTGCCATAAAAACTTTAGTTCAAAATTTTTATTCACTAATAAGTAAGATATTTTCCTTATGCTAAATAAATTTTTACAATAATGCATAGTAGTTTGTATATAATAATGAAAAAATCTATCAAAACCTAAAAAAAACTTTAAAAAAGTAAGAAAGAAAGGAATAACTCATTAAAATTTTTAATATTATTGATATAAAGTTTAAATAAATTACTCAAAACACATGCGTTTCTATCACTGATTGACATATCCACATTCATCTAAGGATGGCTAACTTACAGTGGGATATGATTGATTCTCGTTAGTCTAAACTCTAAAATATCAATGATGTAGACAAAGGCCTTTGCAGAAAATTTTGCAGGGGGGCACAGCTTGGAGACAAAAATTAAATTAAAATTTTTATTTAATATATTTAGGTTTTTTTTACAAGATTATAGAATACAGTACTTTTATCAATACAAAAAGATAAAACATCCCATGATTGAAGGTGTATGGCCACCTATCTCAATCGTTTTTATGATTATAATTTGTGGAAGTTGACTCAATCCCAGGAAGAGGCAAGTGCTGTTTTTCCTCTATGGACACCCATGGATGTAGGCCTATCACTACATTTTATTTTTATAAAGTTTATTAACTCATTTTTATAAAATTATGCTGTCAAACATAATTATATTTATTTATTGCATGGCAATTGATGCTCCAGTTTAATTCTGTTTGATAGTCACTAAGGCATAAACTAAATAGTTGTATTTATCATTCACCATAAGAATGAATTTTATTTTCATCTGTCTTACAGTTCATGAGTTTTACTTATCTGCCCATTTGTGTATAATTTTGGAGGTAACAAAGCAATTTCTAAAATAACATAAAGATTATCAACACAGAACATGTTCCATTTCCTCATTCACTATCTGGACATGTTTTTTTTACTGTACCACAATCAGAAACAATGATCATTCATTATCTCATACATCACAGTACTAACAGTATGTATTGCTTCTTAAAAGATTTCATGCTTGAAATATAAACTTTATATTCCTAAGAAGATTACAAATGGATTTTGTGTTTTAGCATGCCATGTTATTTACAATCAGCTTCTTGTCCATGCCTGAAATTATTTAATTCAATTGGTAGATATCTTAAATATCCTAAATAAAATATTTTTGTGTGATGAATTTCTCAAAGGAAATAAACTTTATCGTAATTACTTGGTCATACACTGAATCGATTATGAAATGAGTCAATTGTACCGTTTTTCTTAAATTTTTAATTCTCTGCCCACGGGCATTAAGAGGGCAGTTTTCCATGCCCATCAAGGATTTGGCTAGGCTTGCAATGGGACACATAAATAGTGAGGATGGGCTCTGACTTATCTGATACAGATTGTTCATGAATGATTTCTGGGGTTGCTTGCCCAGATTCAACTTCCAGAGTGGTTGGCTGATGCATCAGGCATCTTAGCTGGCCATCCTCTTACTTCTCCATCGGTACTACATAGAAACTATACTGGTGCTTAAACCTTTATACATTGATTTATTGTATTTGATATTTAAAAAGTAAAATGATAAAAGTAAAAGACTATTAAAAGTACAGCATTATAAAATTTTACATAAAACTAAGTTAAAACAGAAAAGTTATGATTAAATTATAGAACTCATATAGAAATTACCTTTGATAAATGATGTTGGAATTCTGTAGAATGATCAAGAGTAATCAGAAATGTATTTCTTATTACTCTTATAATAATATCAAACTCAATTATTTTCTTTGTTTTTTAGCACAGAGAAAATGGGAGTTTGATATTATTAAATCTATAATTTGAAATAATTTAAAATAGTTTATACAGTAATTTGTTACAATTCCTCTTTTAATTATCTTCTCTTTCTACTGTATTCAGATTGACTTGTTTTTATAAGTCATATGATGAGATTGAAGAAAGAAACAATCATCTAACAATATGGAACCTGTTTTTATTTAAAAACAAGTTAAATTTTATTTATTTAAAAATTGTTTTAATTTTTCTAAAAAATAGAATACCAATATAAATCTGCTTTTTGTTTTATTTACTACTTGCTTATTAACAGAACTAATATTAAAATTGTAATTTTGATGCTAGAAATGAAAATAGTCTGAAAACTTTAAATCTTGAAACAGTTTGACTTCTTGAAATGAAGCTTTTTAATAAATTTAGCAAAACAAACCATGATTTCAAATTAATTTATTTTTAAATTTTATTTCACAGAATAATTAAATTTTAAAATATTTTGAGTAATTTATTCCAGACATGTACAAAATTAGTGTAAATACTAGTTTACTTTTTTAATACTGTATACAGTTATTCTTCCAACATCAGTGGTCTAAAATTTTCAAATGCAGCAAAGGGCCAGTCAAATAGATGTATATCAGATGTGGGCTGTATTCAACATTATTTGGTAAACCAAAATGTATTGTAATAAAAAAAAATCTCTTTTGTTGCCAGGCTGTTACGACTTACATAAACAGTTAGCCATTTGAATTTTTTGTTTAATCCCCACAAGATGTTAGAAACATTGATTTTTAGAAAAGAAATCGAGGCCACAAACTGCCACTTTGCAACCCGATTTACATGTGGTTCCATGAAAATAATGCATAAATCGAGCCATGGAAAGATATTTAAAATAGGGATCTGTTCCATATTCTCAAAAAACAGTATTTATTCTTATTAGGATAGAGTGTTTTAATTAAAGTTTTTTTTAAATATGCATCTAAGAGATTATTAATGACAAAAAGAAAAACAACTTTTTGATTAATTTTCATTTATTTCCATAAAGTTGATTATTTAAAGTTAAAAATTTTTCAACTACATTAAAGTGATTTCATGTAAATGGATAGATTACTGTAAAATTAAAAACATAAACTACTGTTTACACTAGAAATATAGTTTAAATTTTTTAAAGTAATTTGTTGGGATTTTATAAAATCTTTTTTTAGATCAACCATGATTAAACATATATATTATTATGGCATAAAATACCAAAATAATCACACCTCACTTGTAATTTTATTTTTTTAAATATAAGTTATAAGTCTTTGAGATTGGTTAACCAAAACTAGTATTTTCAGTTTCAGTATCATATATAATCAAAAAAGTTAATTTTTTATGATGTTTATATATGAATATTTTTCATTTTTTTTCACTTTTAAACTGTCAAGATTAAAAGTTATGTGAGAAACTTATAATTTTGTCATTAGTATATTGGGCATGTTAATCTTCACCATACTAACAGTTTCAGAATATGTATTACACTTATGCATTCCATGATTAATATTTAAACAACAAAAAATTCTTATTATTGAGACCATGCAGAAATGAATGGACATACATAAATATGCAAAATTAACAAATTTTTAATTATAACATTGTAAAATGTACAAGTTGTACAATACATTTTCTTACCATGAAATAAATTATAACATTTTAAACATATACTTGTTTCTAATTTAATAAATTATTTACATTTTATATTTATGTATACCTATATCTATCAAATATACAAACTTAACTAGATTTTAATATTAAACGATGCACCACAAGAACATCCCTGAGCAGCCAGAGGATTATTAATAATTCTGAAGGCAGAACGAATCAATTCTTCGTGATAATCCAATGTAGATCCTTTAATATACTGTAAAGATATTTCATCCACAACTACCTTAACATCGCCTTGTTCAAACACTTTATCGTCGTCGTTAATTTTAGTATCTAATTCAAACTTGTATTGAAATCCAGAACATCCACCTCCGTCTACACCGATCCTTAAGAAATGTCCGTCTTTAGCTACACTACGTAATTTCTGTATACATTTGTCAGAAAGAATAAGGGATTTATCTGTTTGATATTCTGTTCTTGTACTCGAAGAACAATATCGATTTGCTGTTTCGAAATTTCTCATCGCTCTCAGCTGCGTTCTAGCTATTTTAATGAATGATTTAGCGAAAATTACCATTTTAACGGTCGCCTAGAACATTGTAATTATTAAAGTAGGATCAGATATGATAAAAGTTACAGAAATAGAAAATAGGGATAATCCTAGAGCAGAAGACGAAATAACACATGTGACTGACTACTGCAGCGACATAAAGTTGCCAGCTGAGGTTTTTAAATGGCGCTAGATTCAAGCCCAAAAATCGCAACACACGAAAGAGTAATTAAAGGGGCTATAATACATTAAGATGTAGATAATCTAAATCAGCATTGCCATTTGTTCATGATTGGTGGCCAGGTGGCCGAGCGATCAAGGTGGTAGCCTACCTATTGTGTCCGTAAAATAAACGACTCTTGTTAACGTATATAATTAATTTTATTATAATCAAACGTAACTTTGTGCCTCCGGGACTGTCACTACAGCTAACTCACGACTGACCGAAGACAAAGGAACATGACAAAGATCAGAGGTGCGGGGGTCGCCTAACTAGGTCAACAGGCAATTCGGTGTGGGTTTATATAACATATACATAACACTACCGCTCTGGGGGACCCGGAAAATCCCCAGGAATTTTTCGGGGGTAGTCCATCCGGATATGTCGGGCCCCGTACCTCACCACCCGGCCGCTCCATTGGGGGCATGGCCGAACCCATAATGGGCTTGCTAAAAGAGACCCTCTTAGTGCCCACAGGGCGGAAAGAGTTTAAAAACGCTCATATTGGTGAAATAAGAATAATCGGAAGATTATTTCGATAACTGGATATTTTTTCTCAAGTATTGTAATTATAACTTTTATTAAAAGTTCTTGAATTGTTTAGTTTCAAACTGTTTCTTTAAATTATAGTAATTTTCCTAGTCGAACAAGTCTTTAGGAAATATTGGGGTTATTTTTGCAACAAAATACAAATTTTGTTTTTCGTCTTTTATTTTACAATAATACAATGTAAAGTTTATTGAAGAATTTTTGTTTTAAAAATCCTTATTTCAAAAAAACAATCCATGATCTGAAAACATTAGACAAAAATAGTCTGCAATAACATAAATAATTAATGTATTTTTTCACTTTTTAAAAAGGATCGTCTTGTTTTTTTAATTATTTTATTTTGAAATTAATATTGTCCATACGAAAAAAATATGAAACATTTGAAAAATCGACTATATATACTTGATACACCGGAAGTTTTAAGTTCTATATCAGTCATTTTATTATATGAAATTATATATTTGAAACGTTATGTTCTGATTCAATTTTTTGTGTGCTATTAAGATTTATTTTTTTTTATTAAAATAATTAATATAAGAAAATTTAACCTCATTCCGCATGTGCAAGTTTAGCAGACACCAATGTGACCAGACGAAGCAGTTTGATTACTACCATAGAATATTTATGTATAAAAATTTTTAGTGACAATAAAGGTAGCACAGTGAAAAAAAAGCAATATTGCAGCATTTTGGCACTTATCTAGGCCCTACCAAATTGAGCAATATTTATCCAATATGGCTAAATCAGCAATCTTTATCGCTAAATTACCAATAATGAATACCAGTGAATACCAAATTACCAATAATTGACATACTGTACATCATTTTAAGTATCCTAGTATCTAACATAGACGCGAACATCTATTTTCAATGATATTATTTAATTAAAACAAAGAAGCGATATACAGTACATTAAAAAGAAAGAGTTATATTTAATTTGAACCAAATACCGATATACTTAAGAGATTTCACAGCATTTATAATAGGTATGAAGATATAGAGGAAAATCCAGATTAGTCCTAAACTTATACAGTATTCTGATTTGCGCTTGCTACACTCTGATCCTTTGATTCAGATCAGCGTGTAGCACTTTTAAATTGTACTGTATTGGAAAAAATTATAAATAAAATCGTACAAATTATTTAAGCAAATAATAAAATAGACGAGCAATTATTTATTGTGATATCGTCAAAATGTCATGCTGCAATTTTTAATCATATATTTAATTTAATTTAATTTAAAATACTGTATATGCTCTCCATCTCAAATTAGTACTGTAGTATCTTGCCCCTGTACATCATACCTTTCCTTTAGCAATCGAGTGGTGCCGGTCATCTATCTAACTTCTTTCAGGGGAAAATTTTTGAATTGAAATAACGTGACTTCCGGTTTGCATCGGAATTTCGTATATAGTTAATTAATCGGATCTTCTATGGGTTTCCATATCTGATCTCGTCTTTTATCTAACTCCGTTCTCAAGATTAAGGAAAGACAGACATATGCACGACATAGGTCTACAATTTTTTCAAATTGCAGTCCAAAAATTTAATGTTATTTTAGTTTATTTATTAACCTCTCCCTCTCTCTCCCCCCCGCGACAGGAATTTCGAAAAATCCGTTCTTAGTGTATATTCTCATGACCAGGGCCGTGCGATAGATTTTCTCAGTATGATGCAAGTCTTCGAAATGCCGCCTCTGAAATGCCGCTTATGCCACCCCTTAAATTCTGCTTATGCCGCCCCATTACGGTGCCGCCTGATGCGGCCGCATCTCTGCATCATAGCACGTGCTCCAGGCCCTGCTCACGACGTGCCCTAATTGTGTACCAAATTTCAGCTTTCAACTTCTAACCGTTTGGGCTCTGCGTTTATTATGATTATTATTATTATCAATCCATCTCGATTATATTATAAGATTAAGCCATATATCTAATCTTACCAACAAAACAAACTCTGTTAGCATTAAGGGTTATGCTAAAGAACTCGGCTTCTACTGTACTATTTTAGATGCGGTTTTTTGCGTTTTTGCGGAAAATCGAACATATTTTTAGATTCATCTAAAATTTTCTAATTAGTCTCGGAATAGGACCTAATTCTTGCACCCGGTGAAAACGAGTAAGATCGGCTATAATCCAATAATATTAATCTTTGCTATCGTTACTTTTTGCCCGAGCAACGTCGGGCTCATCTGCTAATAGAGTATATATTTTTAGTTTACCGTCATATTTTATTTTCCGGGAATCCATCTAGAGAGCTCAATAGTAGAACCCATAATTTTAAAAATAATGATAATTTACAAAATATGATTTATAGGCTATATGAACTACGTGATAACAATATATAAACGGGTGTAGCAATTTCTGAGAAGCATGTAGTAATGTGTAGCAATATAAGTACCGGTTATGTAACCATTAATATTTTCTTTTTACCTGGTCACACTCCCCTGTTCTTTGCCGTGTGATAGATTTCTTTGTTGATTACGTCATTCCTATATACATACGTCATTAGGAGAGGAGATGAACAGAGCTAAAATGTTTGGATATGCTGCCAAGTCTTTCAAAAATAGTTATAAAAGATTTTTGCGTAAGTTGTTTTATTTTGATTTTACACGTGTTTGAAATGTATAAATTGTAAATCTACGATACCTTTGGCGACCTTGATTACTATAAAAAAATAATTTAGTTTCCTGTGTTATGTGTTCTTGTGTGTTTCATTTGACACTTCCCCACGTGAATGTTTATTTTCAATTTATATTTTACATTAGATCATTTATAAGTTGATCTTTCAATGATTTTTTTTTATTTTTAGTAATCAAATTATGAAATATTTGATGTTAAATTGTAAAAAAAAAATGTCAAAGTGTCCTATCATTAAGTAATGATAATAAATTGATGACAAAATTATATCATTGCTATTATTACTATTTTTGATATTGTGCAATAAGAATATTTTGCATACATTTTGAATATGTTTAGAATTGTATTATTAAATTAATGTGTGCATGTACAGTAGAGTCTCTGTAATTCGACATATATTGGACTAGGGATGTCAGGTTACCGGATTTTGTATGTATGTATACTGTACATACTGTACAGTAAAAAGTACACTTGGTTTTCAGGTTAGCCTATTGTATTAATCACAACTGTGACTGTTTTGCTGACTGCAAATGAAACAAGCAACTGGCAATTGACAGTATACATGTACATGTACAGTGGTCTATGTTCCATACACAAAGTAGTAACATGAAAATTTCATGTGCATTGCCCTGTGTTGGAGTGTTAGATTACTAGATGCATTAGACTGGTGAGTGACAGATTAAGAGACTCTACTATATTTAGATTCATTTATAGATAAAATGACATTGGTTTAGTTATGTAATTGTTGATATTTATTGTTATTTTAGTTTGAAATTATAACTACAGAGTTTTCCGAAAGTAGTGATATACAGGAAAATTTAACACTTATTAGAAAAAAATATAATTTTATTTATAAAATTTTCACTACTTGTTGACCATTTCTTTCTAAACACAGGAATGTGTCTCTTTACTTAAACTGAACTCTTGTTAACAAATCAGATGTTATGCACCTAATTTGACTTTAAATGTGTTATTTTAGATGAATGTTTGAATGTTTTCCTGGTACACTAAATCTTCAAGTATCCTCCCCAGGTCAGGCTTCCTTCAAAATCAAAAGTCACTCTGTTGGTCCATGATGACCAATCCATAAACTTGTAAAACATAAGAAAATTAGATTCTAACTTTTTGAACACCATGTATTTCAGTAAGCAAATATCAAACTAATTTTGATTTGCACTTTCCATAAATTTATTGTTTAGAAATGAAAAGAGAAAGTATTAAAATATCCTGTTTCTGTTTTGTTTGTAAAAAATTCAATGTCAAACATTTGCTTATTTTAACAGAATGATTAACTTAAATAATTCAAATAATTTCACATTTATATGTTATATATTATAGCTTTTGTATATGAGATTATTTTAGCCAAAGTTTTTTTAATTAAAAGTACAATGTCAACAATGTAAAATTTAGAAATATTTTTTGAAATTACAAAAAAGTTGCTTTATTAAATTATAAATTTAGATTCTCATGAATAATAGGGCACATTTTCTAATATAATGTGTACATATATATATTTATTGACAAAATACATCATTAATTGAAAAAAATCTGGAATTCAGGAAAATGGCATTTTAAAAGGAAAATTATTTTGAACAATGATATCTTTTCTAAGAAACCACACCTTATGTAATGTTTTTCTTGGTAATTTTTTAAGGAATTATATTATAGAAATAATAATATATGTATTTAGTAATCTTGACTTTAATGTGATAAAATGATTGTAATTTGACATTATTATAATAATTTTTATTTAACATAGTTTTATATTAATTTCAATTTCAAAACTTAAAAAATTCAAACAGTTAACTAAAAATTAGACTTTAAATAATTCAAATTATCAAAATTAAAAATATGGAAATAATAATAGTAATAATTTGTAAAAGATGTACAGGTTTCTGAAATGCTTGGCCAAATTTTACAGGCCTTTAGAAGGGGAAAACCTGAATAAAAGTCAACAACCATTTCTTGATCTGCTGCTTAATTAGCAAATTATTAAGCAGAGTGTAGTGACATCATTTCTATTTTTTTAATCTATGAAGTGTGTCAGTAATTAAATCTGTTTAATAATCACAGTTTCTTTATTAAGCAATTCAGATTTTTAAATAAACCCCTAGTTTTTAGATATGTAAAAGAAAATATCCCTACAAAAATTATTTAAAGGTTATGTATCAAAACAAATATAAATTTTTGAGGATATTATATTTACCTACTTGCAAGTCTACATTGCCAACAGTATTCATGCCTTGTAACTTTGTTTGTCTTCTGTTTCATATTTTCACTACACTTTAATCCTTAACGTGGTTTATTTCTTATTTTAAGCCATAGTGGCTGTTATCCATTTCATGTATGGGTGAGCAACTGGGAACTCATGAGAAGCCCAATGTTTCTATCAGGAAAGTTTTCCACAAAGACATTGTCCAAAAAGAACATTTGTGAACATTTTGCACATTTTGATGTATCAATCATAACTGTATTTATGTTTGCCAGCCTCAACTTTGCAAGATGCTGCTCTATGTACCTATTGTACTCTATATCCTAATTAATTGTGTTCTTACTTTCTATGATAAACATATCTATTTGTAATCTTGCTTATTATGTATATATAGTTATAGTTTATATAGTTATATATAGTATATATAGTTTGTATATAGTTAGGTTTTTATATAGTTGTATTTATATCAGATAATTGTTATACTTGATGTAATTATTACCTTATGTATGCATTGATTTATTTAATTTATTTATTTATCATATTTATGTTTACTTTATGTATGTATTTGTATGTATGTATATTCATATCTATCATTTATGCAAGTGTACTTCATATCTCCTGTGTATTGTAAACTGAGTGTGTATAACCGGTAATGCATGAACAGCGGGGAGGTCTGTACTTTGTTTGTACAATTAAAAATGATTGATTGATTGTCCAACAAGAAAGCTCTCTAGATGTTCATTAGCATCTTTGATAAACAGAACACTTTCAATAGTCACCATTGATAGAGGTAGAGGAAGAGCCATATCAACACTGGGTAAGAAAGAGCAAGTTATTGCTAGAAGAGAGAAGGATCGTAACACAAGACAAATAGCTAGAATAATATGTATCATTCATTTAAGTGGATGGTGTATTTTTCATGAATACTAATTGTTTCATACTAATCAAAAATAGGATTATGTATTTTGATTACATAATCAAATTAATCAAATTCATATAAATCAAAAATAGGATTATGTCTTGGAACAAACCAAAACATGTAGTTCTATTTTCAAACATTAGCCTGAAAATGTCCATTCAAAATAGAAGAAATTTAAATGAAGAGGTTCAGATGAGCTATCTTTACAGGAAGCATGATAAGAGAATCCCAATCTTANAAAAATAGGATTATGTCTTGGAACAAACCAAAACATGTAGTTCTATTTTCAAACATTAGCCTGAAAATGTCCATTCAAAATAGAAGAAATTTAAATGAAGAGGTTCAGATGAGCTATCTTTACAGGAAGCATGATAAGAGAATCCCAATGTTATTTGATTTGTTTCACACACAAAATGGCTTAACTTTTTTATTCAGGTTTTTCTCTCTCTTCAAGGCTGTGAAGTTTGGCCAAACATTTCTGAAACATCCTATATGGTAATGGCATCAATTGTCAACAGTTTAAAGCTGTTTTGGATTTTGATATTTATTATTACAATTTATAGTAATGCAAAAAGCAAAATTAAATATGAAAATAAAGTTTGTTCTATATTTGTCATGGAAAAGAATACATTTTTTTATTTGACCTTTGTTTACATTATGGAAAAAAAAATTAGTCAATCTCATGGTTGTTNAATTTTGGTTTCACGTGGATGAGATTATAACCATCCAATTGAAATTCAGGCGGGATCGTCCCATTTTTACACCCCTCCTGACTTTTATGATTATTCTTTAGGAGAGCTCTTTTTATCGAGCCGAAGAAGTTGTCACCATCTTGGGATTTTATAACTTTCTCTAACAAGTTCATGTCTTCGCCAGTTATATTTATAACAATAGGTTTGTATGAATCAGGGTCAGTAGACATTCTTGATAACCAGTCGGCCATATGGTTATCCTGACCTTTCACATGGTTAATCTCAATGTCAAAATCCGATAATTTGAAGTTTAGACTATGTACAAAAAGTCAAAAAACTTTTGAGTCCTTCTTTATCCTTTATACACCACCATAGAAGTAACAGCTTAAAAAAATGCTTTGAAGAACTCTTCTTAAACACTGATAAAAATTGGTAAAAAAATTCCACAAGGTTAAAAAAGATCAAGTGTCAGCCTTTCATTGTAGGTTTCTGACACTTCTACAATTAAAAACACAGAAATTCTTCACACCATCATTTCCATCCAGCTTTTTAAACTGCTTCTAGCCCTCTAGTGGTAGTAAAAGTGTCAGAAACCTACAATGAAAGGCTGACACTTGATCTTTTTTAACCTTGTGGAATTTTTTACCAATTTTTATCAGTGTTTAAGAAGAGTTCTTCAAAGCATTTTTTTAAGCTGTTACTTCTATGGTGGTGTATAAAGGATAAAGAAGGACTCAAAAGTTTTTTGACTTTTTGTACATAGTCTAAACTTCAAATTATGAAGAAAATAAATCCTGAGTTATCACAAAAATTGTAACTATATGCAAATAATGTTAGATACTCATAACTACCACTAGAGGGCTAGAAGCAGTTTAAAAAGCTGGATGGAAATGATGGTGTGAAGAATTTCTGTGTTTTTAATTGTAAAAGTGTCAGAAACCTACAATGAAAGGCTGACACTTGATCTTTTTTAACCTTGTGAGATTTTTTACCAATTTTTACCTGTGTATAAGAAGAGTTNACTTTTTCTAACAAATTCGTGTCTTCGCCAGTTGTATTTATAACAATAGGTTCGTATGAATCAGGGTCGGTAGACATTCTCGATAACCAGTCGGCCATATGGT